CTGTAGAGTAGAGCAAGGTCTTATAAAGAAATCCACAAAACAGAGGTGGAAATGGCTCCACACCTGGACTCTACCAGAACCACTAAAATTCACTTGTCCACATCCCTCTGCCTGGACAAATCCAGAGCAACACTTCCCTCCTCCACTGTTTTCACAACGTCCATGCTCTTTACACATCCCTATTCATCTCGTAACTCATGTCTAGTCTCCTTTAGCTTTCAGCGAAGCCCTCCATGATCATAAATGTCAAAAAGGGCATCAAGCAAGGGGAGGTTGCAGATTCTGGAGTCCGTTCCTCAGTTAGAACTGTGCTCTGGAGCAATGGGAGCAAGAGAATCAAGGGAACAGAAGAGAAAAAGGTCTGAAGAGAACACAATAGGTTGGTGCTGTTCTTGGTGCTGAATATTATGTTCTTTCCAAGTCTCAGACATTGCTAAGACCAGAGAATACTGGCCAAGGGCAACTAACTGCAGTGGACAATAGTGCGTGCTACAAAGATCAGTGTATTTAAAAAAAAAAAGCCGTAGTTACAACGAGCTTGCCTATTATAGGGTACAAAGGGGCTCCTACTGGGAAAGAAAGTGGGACCAGAGCTTTTCAAAATGTATACTTCTCACTTGCTTTTTGTACTTGGTTGGAATTTTTTCATCAGATTTGTCTATTACTGAACTTCAATATGAGAACCCAAAGAGTGGACTGTATTAGCTGGTCACATTACTTTTACCAAATACTCCGTGTACTGGGCACTCTGACAGGCAGAGAATTATAAACCCATATAAGGTATAACTCCTCAAAACAAAAAGAAAGAGAGCTTTACAAAGATAGCAAGTAACTTGCAAGACGGAAAACTTAAAATTTTTTATCAAGACATTCTTCCTCTGCAGCTTTTACATCAATAATCTTAGATCTCTCTTTTCCAAACGTAGAGTCACCAAATATCTCTAGCCCTGCTGTCACTGGAGAAGCATCTGGTCCAGCAGTTCAAAGAGTTTGGACTGCTCCTCTCCATGGCAGTGGAAATCCAGAAAGATAATCATTCCAAGTATTGGTTTTATGACTTGCTTCCAAGTGAGAAGGAAAAATTAGGGAAATTTCATAACAGCACTTTGTGTTCCCTGTCCTATAGAAAGAATTTATCGGTTTCATCTATATTTAGAGAACACATTCATTCAGATGCTGTAACACAATTATTAATGTGACCATAAAATTATCAGTGAGGCCAAACCCTACAGCTTGAAAGCTCCAAGGACAATTAGATGGATTATCAAAGCAGTGAGCACAATGGATTACACAGCTTAAGCCCTCTACTGAAAACACCCTCATGCTTAATAAAATTTTTGCAAGCATACCTTGATTGACATTAGCTGCTGGAGGCAGCCCATGACTTAACCACATGATACAAGGGCAACACTTTCAATTTTATCCACAAATGAATTTGTCATTGACCTCTACTTCTATAAACTGCCTTTATGGACTCCAAACACTTGAATTCTTTAAACAAAAGAAAGGTCCTTAAAAAAATCTCAGGAACATAAGGGATTTTTTCTAAGAAAAGTTCAGGGCAATGAGATCCTGAAAATACCTCACAGACACGGTGGAAATAGGACCGAATGCCTGTTTCTCTTTTAAATTAGCTAACAACCAGTGAGCACAAATATGTCTCCATACAAAGCAGGCGTGATGACTCATTTGCTTCTTATCAATAGACATCAGCCAAACCATCCTGTATCTCAGGACTGAGTAGATTGGGTTGTATTGTAAATAAAAAGCAAGAGAAAGGAAATTGGATGAAAGTGATGTTGGAGGCACGGGTCAGAGAAAGTCAAAAAGTGTTTTCCACGTCCCTGTTTCATCCAAGTATAAGAAAAAGTCTAGAGTGGCTTTCCCATTAAATTTAAAATAATGTCCAAAGTGTTTCCCATATTACATGATCTAATCTCATCTCCTCCCCAGCTCCTGTATGCCACGTCTGTTCTAGCCACACTGGCCTTTTCTTCTGTCCTGCAAACGTACCAATGTCATTCCCACGGCAGGATGTTCACGGTGACGGTCCCTTTGCTTGCACTACTGAACCCTGGGTCTTCTCATGACTCCTTCTTTATTATCACCAAGGTCCCACTTCAGAATCCATGTCCTCAGTGTGCTAGCGAGCTAAAGCCACCTCTTCACAGCCATTAATACATGTTATCAAAACTCATGCATCCGTACGTCCATCCATGTGTTCACCTACTGCCTGCCCGCCTCGGCCACTCTACTGCAAGCTTTGTGAGGACAAGGACTTTGTCTTTTTCAAAACTGTCTCCTTGGTAGCCCACTAATCTAACACCTAATAAGCACTTAATAACTATTTGCTGACCAACTGTAACTGTGTTTTAAAAAAATGTGTGTGCTTTTAAGAAGGGGATAAGAGTAGAATCTTTTCAGAAAATGCTTTAAGAAAGCTATTTCTAACCGAAAAATGCCAAGGTCCTGGAAGAGAGTCCTCAAGTGCATTTCTGGTACCTGAAGCCCTTGTCCTGTCATTGCTGGATTCATTGACTATCCCAAGCTGCCAATTACTCGTAGTGCAGAATACCATTCCCAAGGTAGAAGGAAGGTATCACAGAGAATCAATCAGCAGCCTGGGGTCTAAGAATAATGAGATCCTGGACGTGAAATGTTACTCTATTTTCCTTTTTAAAATGAGGATACCATAATTAATTTGAGGACCCAGGGCTCTAATGTGAGACACTTGGGAACTGTACAATATTGGGCAATTAAGGGGTGCTGGTGTTGATGAGGCTTGATCACAATTTTTCCTGGGGTCTAAGACAGGAAGGTTCTACAAGCTTGGAATTCATATTTTCCTCAGAACCCAGAAAGACTGCCCCTCAGATGAGGGCTAGGAAACATCCTTGATGCTGCCTGCTTTCTTTTAAAAGCCTCACCTCTGCAATGTGCCTAGCTCCTCCAAACAGCCACCCTGGCTGGTGGTTAGCATATGCTCGTGCAACACAAAAGCAGAACAGTACCTCAACTGCACCCCAATCTAAGAGTGTGACAACACGTTCCACATCACCTGTGTCACCTGCTAGGACATGGGCTCAAGTGTTGCACAATATTGTACGGAATGACCTCGGTGAGACATGACCTTAGGGCAAGCTCTAGCAGAATATGGTGAATGGAGAAAGTCCCTTTATATACACATCAGGCATGGAAGAATGGAGAAGGTTGACATCATGACACAGGGGAACCCCGGAATGGGTCTGACTGATCTGGAGCCAGGTGGGAAGGTTCATGAGGAATGTACGGGTGGCCTCTGTCAAAAGGAAAAGCCTAAGTAAGAAAGTGGCCATGTTCGGGGAGAAGGAAGGAGAGCTTGTGATGCACACGGGCTCTTGACTGCTCCTCTCTACAGACTAAGCCAAGGGGAGAGTAAAACACCAAACACACACAGCCAAGGAGCCCTACACAGAAAGTGAGGCTGGATAAAGGTCAGCACCCACGCAGCCACACCACCATTCCAGGCCTTGCCCAAATGCACTGCGCTCACAGGCAATGGTCGGCAGCACTTTGGGGCAGAATACAGCCACTTGATTAATAAGTAAAATACACAGAATTCAAAGGGCAAGTCCCCAGTTTACCAAAGCTCACTGAGACAACATGACATTGAGTGGGAAATCTTTTTTGTCAAATGTTTACGTAACACAAAATACAGTGAGGAAAACAAAAGTTATTTTCAATTCAAAATCCACGATGCACACAAGAGCAGTTTACATAGCAAAAGTGATAAAAATATTGACTATCGATGTTGACAGAAAACCTTCTGTGCATACTCTTACCACGTTGAGTGATTCTATAAACGTAAATTTACCCCTTAAGTATACATAAGCCAATTTAGACGGAAGCTTTTCTTCTGTCACAAATTTAACGGGCTGTGGTTATCATGTTTGCCCCCTGGGTACCAAGGGGTACCAAGGAATATTCGGAAAAACTACACCTGGCTGTTAAAAATATCAGAGAAGAAAGGTCGGCTGAAGTCATTACAAGAAATGGCAGGAAAGCACCCCTAATGCTAATTTCTTGAGGTCACCGGGCCACGAAATAGTCAAGGCCTGGCCAAGAAAATCCTGCTTATCAACCTTTGAGTCAACCTTCCACAATAGGCTCCAAAAAATACTCTAAATTTTTTTTTTTTTTTTTAAGAGGATTAGAGTTAACAATCTTGCCACACCCCTCCCCCCCCAAAAAAACCACAAAATTGTGTAGCCTCATTGGGCAGACAGATCTCACAGATGATACAGGCAGACAAGGGCAGTAGAAGGTAAGACAGCAGAACTGGATACTCTACAAGACTGAGTTAACTGCTTTCTCTCTGAAGCCAGAGAATAAATATTCTGGAATCTGGAAACCAAGAAGCAGAATGGAAGACGCCACATAGATACTTAGGAAAAAATGTTCACAGTTTTTTTACTCTCAAAATCCTTATGGACGTCGTAATTTAAATCTCATTAATTTACACAGTTTCCAAATATTGTTATTCTTTCTTCTTTCTTTCCCAACCATTGAAAATGGAAACTCCATTCTTAGCTTGCTCGGCAAAATCAGACCGAGGACTGCAGACTTGTACTCCAGCAGGCCAAGAGGCTGTGGGGCAAAGTGAAGCCACGCAGTCCACATGTCGGGCACTGGTTTTCCCTCCATGTTTCTTTCAAATACTGTAAACATAAAGCTGCATTGAAACACCCCCAATTCTCTTTTAGCAAAATCAGATTATCTCCTTCATCCAGTAGCTTATGTTCACACTCTGGATTTATTTTAGCTATCATCTTAGCTGTAGACGTTGCAGTGGTTTTGTATGACAAATGCAGACAGGAGCCAAATGGGAAACACACAGGAATCAGTTTCCATTACCATGACAAGCAATGGCACTGGGAAGGCTCTGATGTGAGGTGTCTGCTCTGTAACAGCCAGCGACCACCAGCCACCACTTGTAATGCTCTCCTGTTCTTATCTTGTAGGCTTTCATATCGGACGGGGCAAGACACAGCTAATTGTGACACATGCAGGAACAGTGCATGTATTATCTATAGGTATGTTAACCTCCTCCTCCCACTTTTCTATTATGAGTGACAAATGGTGTTTACCCACGAATTCAAGAATCATCGGGGGCCATGCTGGGATGATTATATCAGACACAAAGTAAAGGGCCTTGCTTGACCATAATTCTCAGCTCCTTCTAAATACTCAACCCCAGGTGTACGATCCCAGGATGAGGGAGAGCTTGAACTCACTTATCCTGCAAATGCATCTTGGTGGTTTCAAAAACTGGTGTAAGTCTGATGGCTTGCTCCCTCAGAATCGCCCGCCGTGAGCACTGTACTGTGCGTTCGCACAAGACCAGAAAGTGGACCCCTGCAGATGGTATAAATCAAAAATTGCAAACCACACTGGATGTGCCAGGCATACGGTGGAAGAACCAGGCTGCTTGCACCAATATGCAATTTATTTCCTTAGGAACTCACAAAGATCGTGGCTCTGGCATCCCTTGGGACATAATCCCTTCTAGAATCCGTACCGCTGTTCATCATGTTTTTTTAATTTAAACTTTGTTTAGGTTATTCACAGCAGCAAGAATAGAGCAGAAACTTTCAACGGGGAAAAACTATGCTGGGCTTCTCAGGGAAATTTAGAATTTTCGGATGTTGTCACAACCTTCCGGGAGGTTATTATCTGTTTTCTTTTCGGAAATCTAATTTTTGCAAACAAGATGCGAGAGTAGTAAGAGATGCTATGATTTAGTTCAGTGTTGAAACTAAAGCCTGCAGGACAATTTTAGTGGACTTACCAAATTATCCAAAACAATTCTCACTGCACAGTTATGTATCTAGATATGTGTATAAGAACTCCTGTCTCCTCCTCCGCTCCGCACCCCCCTCCAAATACACCTTCTACAAAGTTCTTCAAAATCACCATCCTTTCATCAAAAAGGTGGAGACAGGGAGATCATGTAAATGTCTTCCATGTAGCAAAAAGCTTGAATCCACACCTTCCTGGGCCCATCACACATCTCCACAGCCAAAGCAGAACATCCCGTATGGGACTCAGACTCTTTAAAAGCAGAGTTGAGTCACATGGTAACCTTCTCTAGGGCCAGGCAGGAGAACCCAATGGCAGTCACGAGCACCGGGTGTCAGCCTAGCACATTCCTTACTCCAGACGTTCACAAAGGGCAATTTGGCCTGAAAGGGGACATCTGGCAAGGTTTTCAGCTGTCACAATGAGAGAGGTGCCCGGGCATTGAGTAGGTACAGCCCTGGGATGCCACTAACATCCTATAAAGCAGAGCAGAGCCCCACAACAAGAATTCATTGACTTCATCGAGGTTGACAAAGCCGGCCCTGCTAGAACCATCCCCAGGTTAAGGTCTCTGAAAGCATGCTAAGCTGCCTGATTGTCCTCCCACTTTTAACAAAGAAGAGGTGGAAAGCAAGCCCCCCCGGCAAATTTTGTTTGTCAGGAACTCCCACAAATTGCAAATTACCTCCTCAGAGACCATGCCTTCGCAGGGAGGTTTGGTTAGAGGGAATATTTTCACTACATTCACATTGTGGAAGAGAATTTAGAATCAACAGTGAAGGGATGTAACTCGGCCATTTTCCCTTCGCTAATATGAGTCATTAGGAAAAGAAGCAAGGAATGTCGAGCGCCCGGCATCGACCCTCACTGTTTGGCCTTTGTTACGTTGGGAATTGGGGCTCACCCAGTCTCTGAATGCAACAGAGCAGAAGTGAACAAGATTTCCAGAGAAGGTTCAGAATGAGCCTGATGAGCGCAAGCCCATTTAACATTTTGTGGGTGATTGAAAAAAGAATTTATTAGAGCACTCTCCAGTGTAACTGAAGTAATTTAAGTAAATTTAGCTCTAAATCCAGAAGTAACTTACATTAAAAGTGATATTAAAAGTGATTTAACAAGCCCGTGAAGGACAGAAATTTGTCTTTTTCAGGAATTAGCTTGGAGTGGTTGCTATTTAGAATTGGCTCAACCAGCATTCTGCACGAATCCCCATACACCAGCTACTGGCCCACTTTCTGAAAGAACCGTGAGTGTCTCAGCATCACAGGAAATAGCCAAAACTAACCAAGACTCACCAGTGAGAGGGACTGAGCAACTGGGATCACTATGGTTACTTCCTACAAAATGGGGGAAATACCCTTCCACTCACAGAGACCTTTATCATCAGGGATGTGATCCCAGGGATGGCTGTGGGCTGGGGTGCTTCTTCGGGGGCGCATGACAGGACCCTCCAGAGCCAGGTACACCCCCTCCCCCAGCTCTCCCTCTAAAAAGAGCCAAGCATCCCTGGAGAGGTGGTGCTAGAAAAACCGGAATGTTAGCTCGCTTTTGGGGGAAAGTATCTTAAAATCTCTCCCTTCAGAGTGAGAGCAACACCAATTCCCCAGCCCCTGAACTTGTGCTGCAAACAGACATTATTCTAGGAGGTCTCAGGAGCAACAGTTCAGCTGGACCCCCACAGTGTCCGGACCACCAGCTGCTAGTAAGGAGCTCAGTGTCCCTACCTAGGTGAACACACACAGCTCACCAGGCTCCCTTCCCAATCTTCCTATCATTTTACATTAGAAATCATGACAATTTAACTGTTGCTAACCTGCACAAGGTTACAGGTCAACAAAAGAAAAATGTGACACTGTGTGCCCTGGTTACTGAGGCTGGACCAGAGTTCTCCAAGCTCCAGCTGCGTGGATGCTAAGACAAGTAAAGCTCACTGCTAGTCAGCTAACCAAAACCCAGTCAAAAGGGAACTCATGCACTTAACCTGTTAATGGAATCTGAATTGTATAAATTGAGATCTTCTGCGTGGCTGATTTAAAGGTATGCTAGGCTTTTGAGGGGGGCAGCCCAGATACCTTCTGTGAACGTGGGCCCCGTGCTCGAGCTCCTAGTGACTAACCCATGAGCCACCATGTGAGGGATCTGAGTTCACAGCACTTCTAGATCCTGATCTGCCCCTACCTTTTCCACACTTGCTATCTGGTCACACCCTACTCTGTCCAAAGCAGGTAACTCACAGAAGGAATTCTCTCTTGCCCAAGTGCTATTACACTGGTTTATGCAACATTCGAATCAATCACATCATTCGGATGCGGGGTACAAATGGCATGAATAGATGGCAACACAACATCCTCTCGGTGAGCATACAGCTGCAGAGGATGGCCAGAGGGCTGTGGGTCATTCACCAGGAGCCACAGCTTGTGTGGGCATCAGTAATGTCCCAGGGGGATGCACATGGTGACTAACCCGGGACAGCCGTTAAGGGGGCTCCCATCATACTGTCTGAATACCAAAGACTAATAGAACAGGACAAAAGGTTACTGGTCTGGTTCCTGGGAGACTCGCATCTCTCTGGCTCTGCCACGATGGCTGGCCATTGTGGACACACCTAACTTCCTCATGGTAGGATTCCCTTTCGTCAAAAGAGAAAGGACAGCAAGGGGGAATTCGGCCAGGTGACTTCTCGGTTTCGGGTCAGCCCTAGGATTTAATCCTCAAAGGCCAAATGCTTCATGAAGAATAGAGGTTTCTTTGGTAGAAAAGCACTCAGAACTCAGTCCTTTTGCAGGACAAATCACCTGTTTCGGTGCCTGCAGCAAGGCATGTGGACAGCCCCGGCATCTCAGAAGTGAGCCAAAGAAAATGTCCAAATTTCAGAGGCTTTATGACTTAGGTCCGTGTCTTCTCACCAAGGAAATGTGCAAGCAAGTCCTCCTTCAATTCCCGCATACAACTCTACAGATGGAGGGTCCTATCACCAAGGGTGAGTTAGCTCAAGATCATGGTCCTTGCAGCTGGCTCCACACTTGGCTCTGGCACCCAAGCTCTCGGACACCACAGCCCGCATCCTGGACTTTGGGACTATCCCTAGGAGTCCCTGTACTGCCATCTCAGCCACTGTTCTTGGTCTTTCCCGTGGGATGCCTCAAGTACCTCGGGACTGAACAGGTTAAAGGAGTTCCAAAGTAAAGAAATTTTAAATCCCAAAACACTGTGCGTATCCCAGAAACTGGGAGCATACAAGGAGGCATCAGAGCTGCCATACCAACACGCTGCAATTCGTCATACTTGTTCGCTGGCGGGCAGAGAGCCCTGGAGGTCAATGAATTTGACCTCGCCTGTCCTGCACGTATGCAGTGATTTTCACTCGAAACCCAATTACCCTCTCTGAGCAGCGTAAGAATCCACCATGTTTCCAGTAACGCTCGGCCCAGGGAGATGTAAAGGGTGCCATGTTCAAGGCCTGGTTGCCTGTGGTTTTACCAACACAGTCCTGTAATAAATGTGTACCTTGGCCAGGGGCGGTGGTACCTATTTCTCGGTAAAAAATAAGTCTGTCGTGGAAATATACAGCACTTGGAAGAAACATTAAAAGAACAAAAGGTCTTGAAGCAATTTCAGGGAACAAGGCTTCCAGCACCAGAAGCCAGAGGTTGGCAACATCCACCTACCCAAGCCAGGCACCCCAGAGATTCGGCCACACCCCCACTCTGGCTCTTTGGCAGGGTGTCTCCGTGAGGCAGCAAGGAGGGATCAGAGGGGGCCCCTCCAGCTCTCAAAGCTCGTTGACTCGGTGATTTACAAGTGATTTAGTGCAGGAGTGAGTCTGAGCTTCCACAGAAAGTAGACACGGTGGGAAAAGCGAGGACAGGCACAAGGCATTCCTCAACCAAGGACCGTCATTCCTGCATCGGCAAATCGATTTATACAACCGTTCCTGGGCAGCAAACTGATTGCCTGCTCCCTCGTCCACTAAAACTTCAAACCTCAAAAGTAGTATTTCCCATAACCGGGAACTTGGAGGTGCTTGACGGGATTCCATTTTTTCCCCAAGACGACATCCCTTGGATTGTGATGTGGACCAATTGTGAAATTCTAATGAAGACCATCTCAGCATGAAAAAAGATGAAGAGAGATCCAAGTTTCAGTTTTCTGTAGTAAAACTTTCCTGGCTAATCATCCGTATTTCCTGTCACAATACTCTGTAATTATTTCAGACAGTGTTTTATGGATAAAT